TTTTTCTTTTCTCTATGTATTTTTTTAGAGTCTAGGAGAGTCCTATAGCAGAAATAAGATACGGGCACGAGTTCCGAGACGTTAGCACGGGAACCACGTGGAGGGGACAAGGAGCAGATGCTCGTGCCCCGTATCTTAATTCTGCATTTTATATTGATGTATAGAATAAGGACTGGGCATGTATATGCGGAGTCCAGCCGCCATTTTCTTTTCTGGGATATGTTGCCGACCCAGCGGCACCGGCTTTTTTATTATTTTGGTTTGATTTGCTTTGCTTTTTTGCATCATGTTGCATGTTTGCACTTGCATGTGTTTTTCTTATTTTCTTTCTGTCTTTTATCTGGGATTTCACGATACAACATAGGCTCATTAAGAACCCTAAAATTTTAATTTTCTACAAAATCCTAAATAAAATCTTCAAGATAATTTAAATTTAGGATTTAAATTTAGGATTAAAATATTCAGGATTAAAATATTCAGGATTTAAAAATTGCAACATTTACTTTCTTGCATATATTAATAGGGTCTCCACAATAATTAGGATCATTCTAGATAACTGTATTCATGTTTGCATGCCCCGATGAGGAGTCCCCGTACCTTTCCAACCTGACTGGCCCAACATACCTTCATATAGGTGGTTGTCTAGTGCGCCTAGGGTGTTATAAGGCTCCCCGACCCAGACGGGGTGTAAGTCCTTTTGTTGGAGTGTTTACAGCTTTGTAGTTGAACCTCCGCTTTCTCTTCCGGAGGCATCCTTGCCATTTCGGCAGGTATAAGTCCCACCTCTTGAGCTCCAGTTTATAGTCATAGGATAGAGTTTCCTTCCTTTGACCTTAGGGCTACCAAGGTTCTCGTGGATGATACAATTCACGGATTGCTGACCAGGGATCTCAGGTTCTGTTGGGTCGACTACCTTCACGACCAGGTAGACTTAGGGTCCTAGTAGCTGTGTATGACGGGTCTGTGGTACCTCGACCCAGTTACCTCTGTTACCTCTACCTATTCTACATTCCTTTTTGTTGAGCCCCTTTGAGCCCTGTCGCTCCTTTGAGCCCTATCGCTCCTTGACCTCATTGATATCACTTTGACGGCTCGATGCCGATGAGCTGCCGCCCATTTAGGATACGACGATTTGTCCTCTGCCCTTTGGCCCGAACGTACTTTGACGTATTGGGATATCCCCATCAAGATGCTTTAGGTTAGTCCGTGGGCCCCATATGTTGATTAGTCACTCCCCATTTGGGATGTGAGAAACTCACTCTTTGCCCGATGGCTTAGCGTGAGCTTTGAAGTATTGAGACTGTTTCCACACGGAATAACCTTCCTTTGATTGCCTATACCCCATATTTATGATAATATGAAGCAAAACTCCTTTTATCGAGAGTATTCTTGGGTATCCCCCAAAATGTAATTAACCAGTAGGAGCACGTTCCTCTGAGAGTGCACTTGACCCCAGAACAGGTACATACCCCTGCCTCTCTGGTTATGGGTAGTCTATGTAGAAACTTCTTTCGCAGATATTGGTTTAAGGTGCCTCCGCCTGATCTTATTTGGGCGGACATTCTTAACATATCCTTGCGAGGTTTATCACACGTAGACTCTCCATGTTTTACTTTTTCTCTTGTTTGTCTCTTTGTCGTATGTCCCTTCTTATTCGATTCTTCGGTTTCTCTCATCTTTGAATCATTTATATGATTTGGGAGGGAGACTTATTCGAACGGGGGAATTATACGACGATCGGCAAGCTGACGACTCCTTTTAAAATAAAAAAAGAGAAAAATGAACAGAAACAATCACAGAAGACACGAGTATAAAAATGTATGTAATTCTTTTTTTTATAAAGTGCACGTGGTAAATTTTATTGTAGAATTATGCAATATTTAGAAGCCACAACAACCTTAGAAGAAACGTCGAAGACTTATAAAGAATTACATTATCATCATCTACAAATGCAACATCATATGATTAAAAAGGCCATAAAAACCAAATAAGACTGTTACAAAGGCTATAAGAGGTCGGATCATCTTCAAATGGTGGTGGATCGCTTCCTTAAAGATTTAGTACTTTTACTGATCTTCAGAGGGATGAGATTCTCCAGATATCGCTGGTAGAGAAGCACAAAAATCCTCCCTCGAAAAGCATAGTGGGAAAACTACAGTATTTCTTCATCATCTCCAGAAAGTGTAACAACAAAATGAGAATCTTCTCCAAAATGCACGATAGGAGCGCAAAAGAAGTTTTCAATTCAATTGTTGGGTAGGGTATGGGAACAAAATTCTTCATCACAACAACTAGAAAGAAGATTCTGGAGGTCCAGCTGGGCGGGGTCAGGGATAACTTTTAGGATGACTTTTTTTTGCACCGCAACCATAATGAATGTTGCTAAAAATGTTCTCAAAGGTCCTACTGGGCAAGGTCAGGGATAAATTTTAGGATAATTTCTTCTGCACCACAACAAGAAAGAAGATCGCCAAAGAAGATCCTAGAAGTCTTGTTGGGCAGAGTCGCGAATAACTTTTAGGATGATTTTCTACAGCTTCTCCATAAGAGAAGACAACGAAAGGAAATCCCAGAGATCTTGTTGGGCACAGTCGGTGATAACATTCAGGACAGCTTTCTCCTGCTTCTCCAAGAGATAGATCGCGAAAGGAAATTCCAAATGTCCTACAGGGTAGGGTCGGGGATAATTTTCAGGATGACTTTTCCTTACTTCTTCAAGACAGAAGACCGCGTAAGGAAATCCCAAAGGTCCTATTGGGTAGGTTCAGGAATAACTTTTAGGATAATTTTCTCATGCTTCTCCATGAGAGAAGACTGCGAAAGGAAATCTTGGAGGTCCTGTTGGCCAAGGTCAGGGATAAATTTCAGAATGGTTTTCTTGTGCTTTTCTATGAGAGAAGACCGTGAAAGGAAATCCCAGAGGTTCTGCTAGCCAAGGCCAGTGATAAATTTCAGGATGGTTTTCTTGTGCTTCTCTATGAGAGAAGACCGTGAAAGGAAATTCCAGACATCCTGTTAGCATTGTCAAAGATAGCTTTTTAGATGTATTTTTTATGATTCTCTATGAGAGAACATAGAGGACCTACTCGATAAGGTCGAGAATAATTTTCAAGACAATTTTTCCTGCTTCTTCATGAAAGAAGAAAAGGAAAAAAGGGAAAATCGCATATTACTTGCTGGGCATGGATGAGGCCAACTTTTTTCTCATCTCTTCTCTCTTTGGGATGAACTTCTCGCTCTCCTTTTCTGCTCCCTCTTCTAATTTTTTCTTCTCATTTTGGCCTCTAATTATAGGCTCAAAACTGCCTCATATTAATAACCAAAACAGTTTTTATTAAAAAATTGAAATTGCCTCGAATTATGAAATCCTTAACATTCTCTTTGCCTAAATTTAATTCATTCTGAGCTGTTGAATTGCCCAGGCTTTTTCACCGAATTTTAGCCAGCTGGCTCCCTGTAGTTCTGAATTCTAGCAGGCAAAGTGGCTAGCAAACCAGTAAGTATTAATTTTTTTCGTTTAGAGGAATCAAACCCACACACGTACGTGACGTGATAAAGCAACACAGCAACTGAACCACTCATCATTTCATATTTCTCATATATATACCTTC